GTTTTAAGGCCTTTCTATAGGTAAAAATACTATCCTTCCACCCAATGTGAAATACCTCTAGTTTTGTTTTCTACCAAGTGCACTCCATTTTTCTGAATGCTCTTATAGGGGGCAAATATGTTCATTATACCATGGTGTCAGACTGTTCTATTTGATCTTTATGATCAAAGGAGCTACTGTGTCTCCAAAGTGCTAGAAAAAAAAGAGAGTCTATAGTTTTTGCTGTCTGGTATGGTGAGGAGTTTAGATAAATCCGTAAGTGTACTTACAAAGTAAACTTTAGTGTTAGAAGTGATATTTCTACCATATTTGTAACAAGGAGTTGATTTTGCAGCCTTGACTAAACAGAGCATACCAGAGACTAGATAATGATCTGAGATGTCATTGCTCTGTTGCAGAATTAAAAATGTTAATTGCCACATTCAAATAAAGATTTTAAAATGCTGGCTAAGTGTCACTAATTAAACAAGTATATGCTCAGCTAATTGTCAGCCTCTTACATGTATGCTTCTCATAAACAATTAGTGAATATGCATATAAACAGCCTTTTAATTAAAGTGCTTTTGCTTTCGCACTGAAACACACAGAGTCTCCCTGACATAGCTGCATGAACACTACTGCTGTTCCTGAAACCACGCCTTCTTTCTTTGCGTGCACATTTGGGCGACATTATGCTAATATTTCCGCATTGTGACGTAGATATGTGGGGGCGTGTTAGAACGAGGCGTTTTAGGTAGGCGTGGTTGACTCTCAACTTTTATAAAGAATATCTCTTTGGATTTGAGAATTTAGTCTTTGCAACTTTACAGATCTTCTTCATGCACCAAGAGCTTGTAACACTCCAAAGAGAAAGGAAAACATGAAATCGCATCATATGACCCCTTTAAGATGTTTTGTGAATACGGGCCCTGGTTTCCATCATCCCAATTGGGGCCGTAAACATTCATTAGCAAGACCTGGGTACAAAAGAGTTTTCCAGAAACAATAATATAACAATCATGAGGGTCAGCAATAATGCTGGAAAGTGAAAACAAAATTATTTCCTATCATTATAGGTGTTCTTCTTGCCTTGACATTAAATTTAGAATGGAAAATATGCCCCACCCATGATTTCTATGATCTATGGTGATCCAATTTGAATAAATGTGTGTATAGCCTTCCTTCTTGAAGGAAGGCTATATCAGTTTTAAAACACCTAAAATGACAGAAGATCTTAGAGCTTGTTATTAAGGCCGTTGACATTTTTAACATTCCAGGATGTAAATTTATTGAGTGACTAACTGTCATTCATCCTTATGAAACATCCATCATAGTTTACTGTGAATGAAGTAGGTACCCAACTAAGTTCTTCTTAGTATCTCTTATACTGACTAAAGACAAATAATATATATATATATATATATATATATATATATATATATAGGGCTGGGCGATATAGCTAAAAATTGTATCAACGATATAATGTTTCTTATCGTGCGGTATTGATAATTATCGACATTTTTATAACCTTTTTTAAAATGGAGCAATAGAAAAAAAATTTTCGTTTAACCACTGTATTTTTAAAATAACTCAATTTATTGAGACAAACAACAAATATTTTTTTTGTTTTAACAGTCAACTGCAAAATAAAAATTAAACAAATATCTAATTTCTAATGTTTTATATGCAGATTAAATAGGTTAAACTTTTGGCATGTTTCCCAAGGGAGCAATGAGCAAAATAATGCAGCACATTAAATTGTCAACGCAAGGAAATAAAAACGTGTGGCTTTACATCTCTTGTGTGACGTGAGTGCAGCAGTCATATCTGTCCATCTAGAAAATGCGCTGAATATGCGTTCTGTGTGAATGGCTCGGTTTTAACCTAATCAAGATCTTCTACGCATTGAGCTACTATATTTCTCTAATATTTTGAATGAATAACGCAGCAACTGCGTGTCTCGTGGGCTAGACTAACAAAACATTAAACTACAATGTCACTTACATCATTATCACCGCATCTCGTGCTTCACTGATGATGCTCCCTGATGCACACGTAACATTTGATTGTACTATTTTTGCATTCAAATGCAAATGTTTATTTTAAATTCGACTAATATAAATTTTTTTATTCACAATCTCCTCATTACAGGCAGGCACAGCACTCATGTTCATGTTTGTGTGTGCTGTCTGAGTCACTCATAGCACGTGCCTATATCGTGCACTATATCGAACA